GAGATTTGGGGGGATGCGGGAGGCGCAAGGGGCATGGAACTGAGATTTGGGGGGATGCGGGAGGCACGAGGGGCATGGAACCGAGATTTGGGGGGATGCGGGAGGCGCAAGGGGCATGGAACCAAGGTTTGGGGGGATGCGGGAGGCATGAGGGGCATGGAACCAAGATTTGGGGGGATGCGGGAGGCACGAGGGGCATTGAACTGAGATTTGGGGGGATGCGGGAGGCGTAGGAAGGCAAAGGGAGCGAAGGGTGGCCTGGAGGAGGCTCCTTTTTGATTGCACTTAGAATAAATTATATCCATTAACATGCCATGTGTGGTCTCTAATTGCAGCCAGGTGGGTGAGTTGGGCACCCAAGGTCCCTGGTGGCACCCACAGGGTTTGGGGAACCCGGCTCAGGGCAGCAGTCTGAGCCTGAATCAGTCGGTACTGAGGAAAAGGGCAGGATTTGGGGTGCCCAAGCAAGACTCAGCAGTTGGTTTAGGCTCCCGGTTTCTGGCAATGCCATCCATGCGGCACAGAGTGCCGCTTCGCTTGCCGTGATGTTATCCCAGGAGAGGTCAAAATAGGGAATGAAGCCTCCCAGCATCAGCTTGACCATTAACTCGGAGCTGAGCGGTCCCGCTTCCCACACGGGACCTGGTTGAATTAAAAAAAAATAGAAATTAGCAAGAAATGAAGTGATTGCCGTGGTCTTCCCAGACCCCGGTGATGGCTCCATCCCTGCAAAACCAGCGACGTGGCGTTAAAATCCTGGCCGTCGCTTCGTGTTTAACACACCTTCAAACCTTCCCCATCTCAGAGCTTTACTGGGCACACTTAATTCTCCAGCAGTTACCAAGTATATATATTTCTAATTTAACAAATCATCTTTTCCCGGACCCTGGCAGCTGTTCAGTTAATAAATCCTCACCGGCCGGGCTCCGCTTTCATCAGCTCGGAGATTTCTGTTCAAAATCTTTTGCCTTCCATTAAATTTGGGCTGGTGTTTATTAATGCTTTCAATCTTCCCTCGGCACGTCGCAGCCTGGCTCGCCGCGGTGGGTCGGAGAGAAACAAGGATTTTTTTTTTTTTAATTAAAGCGAGAGGGAAAGCCTTGAACTCCTTTGGGAAAGACGATGACATCCTTGTTGCTTCCAAGGTGTAAAAAACTTGCTCCCGCCACTAAATTAAATGAGAGGGGCAGGAGAGGGATAAAGATGTCTCTGTAAATCACGTGGAGCCACACAGTTCATTTCTGTTCAGCGTCTTTCATTATAGCAGTCGTAAATCAGCGGCTGGAGCCAAGAGGGCAAGACGGTGAGATTTATTGATGGGGGAAATTTGGGAGGGGAAGAGCTCAGAGGATACAGAACCATTTTTTTTTTGCCTCCCACATGGCCCAGGCTCCCAGGCCTCTGCTGGCACCTTTCCTTCTTCGCGAGCGCTCCGAAGTTTGCTGGAAATTTTTAGTATTTGTTATTATTTTTCCAGTTCCATACAGTTATAACCAGCCAGCTTTCACCCTTCGCCCTCCCTTTCTCCCTGAGCAGCTGGAAGATGGATGCACCGACCCCGCGTTGACCAAGGGGCAAGGAGACAGTTAATTAACAGTTAACGGTTAGACTTGATGATCTTAAAGGTCTTTTCCAACCTAAACAATTCTAGGATTCTAATTTAGCCCTTTCCAGCCCGAGTGGGAGGATGCAAAGCAGAAGCATCATGGCTCCATTTCCCATGGAGAAGGTGCCAGGGACCTGCCAGATCTAAGGAAGAAATTCTTTACAATGAGGGTGGTGAAACACTGGCACGGGTTGCCCAGAGAGGGGGTGGAGGCCCCATCCCCGGGACCATTCCAGGCCAGGTTGGACGGGGCTGTGAGCAACCTGATGTGGTTCAAGGTGTCCCTGCTCCTGCAGGGGGGTTGGGCTGGGTGACCTCTGGGGGTCCCTTCCAACCCCAAACATTCTATGAATCTACATCGCCTCTGCTGGGAAGATGCCTGTGGTTGTGCATGACAAGACAAGGGGTTAACCCTGCTTTGGGCCACCAGAAAGACCTTGGGTGGTAAAAAAAAAATATCGCACAGGTGGAAATAGCCCCTGGGCTGGTGGTAACTTGGTCCCCTCTTTGGGGGGGCAAAAAAGCAGATGCTGCCCAAAGCATGACAGAACAATGATGCCTGGTGACACTTGAACTGCTGCAGAGAAAGGTGGGCATTGGAAAGGGACCTAAAAATAGCAGAGGTGTCTTCCAATGGGACAGGATGGGAGGAAGCAGCTCCTGGAGCATCATTCCTGCCGTGCTGGTGGCTGCGTTGACCCTTGAGGAAGAAATACCCCAACCCTCTCCATCAGCCAAGGCTTTCTGGTAGAACTCCATTCTGAGAGCCTGGAAGACACCATGGCTCCTCTAGTCCGGTCTGATGTGAAGATGGGCAGCCACCCACTGGCTGTGTTTCAGATGGCCTGAGATTGTGTCAGCTGGGTGCAATCACCCAAAATGCAGGCACTTGGGATGGGGGGTGAGTGCTGCATCATGCCCTGGCTCGGAGGAAGGTGAAGTACAACACTCGAAGTCAACTAGATGTCAAGTGTGATAAGGAGAGGAGAGGAACATGGTCCTCCACGGTCCCCACAGTTAGAATCATAGAATTGTTTAGATTGGAAAAGACCTTTAAGAACATCAAGCCCAACCGTTCCCCTTCCGCTGCCATCCCACCCCCAAACCCTGGCCCTCAGCACCGCCTCTGCCCGGCTCTTAAATCCCCCCACGCCGGGGGGCACGGCCGCAC